CCCCACTGGCTATCAGAGTCCCTTCTAATTTTAGCCATTTGGCACCTGCATCAAAATCACCAAGGGATCACTCAGGGGAATTTGCTCCATTCTACAGGGTCTGTACATGGTCCCTCTTATCCCCGATCTGGGAAGCACTTCCTTGCAAACCATGGATATTAACTGCTGTCATTTCTGTATGTGCTTAGCACTCAAGAGGACCATTATTTGGCTGGATAAATCTCCACTTGTCTAACTTTAACTGCTGTCAAGCTTCCATGTCTGTGTGTTCTGCATCAGAAAATCCAACCAACCTCAGTTCAAAACACTTGAAAGAAAATCCTGGGCGTACAATGTAGTCTTGTCATTTTCTCTGAATGGTGACATACATTTACACTGAGTGTTCTGAGTGTTACATGTCTTGGGATGGCTTAACACACGTGGGGGGACACAAGCAGCTTCAACATAAACACTGAGTCATTTTACACAAGGAACTTGAGCACCCACAGACTTTTGGTGTCCTCCCAGGTCCTGAACTAATCTCCTGCAGATGAGATACGTGTGTATGACCTGCAAGTTTAAAACGTGAGTGACTTGTTTAAAGCTCTGCTGAGGACTGCACCTTAGAACATTTATAGTCGAGATACAGTGTGCTTGGAATGATGCAAAAGTCTCCGTATTCCCCACCGAAGTTCGACCTGAAGAGCCTCCGCACAGAGAAGACATGTCTGCAAGTCTTCAGGAGACTGTTTCTCTGGCGCCTGTGTCCTTCAGGGAAGGGAGGAAGAGGCAGAATTACCTCAGACAGAGCTCCCCTCATCCTCTGGCACTGGCTCCTGGTCAGACAGAGATTTGCTGTCATTGTACACCAGATGGAGGGGGGAGAGAAGGGAAGGGACGGTTTGATTTGTTTAAGCGAATTTCAGAAACATTCATAGCCTAACTACATTCCCTGCCTGTCCAGTGTCAACTTCCTGTGTGTACCAGTCACTCTCTAGCACGTATCTCACAATCTAGACAAGACAAATTGCATTCCCTGTACTTTCCTGGCCTACTGAATCTGATTCACTTATCACCACCTTGGACGGTCTATGAAAAGCCTAATGGGCTCAAGGCCTTAGGTGCTTCTAGAAAAGAACCTTTCATACACAAAATTGAATGGGTCTCTTTAAAAAGCACCAGTACAGGCTGAAAAGATGAGAGTGAGGACCAGAGCTTGGATCCCAGGACCCATGTAAAGCCAAGCACATTTGCACACTCCTATAGTCCCAGGGATGCTCTGGGAGATGGGAGGGCAGAGATGGAAGAATATCCCTTGATCTGGGGGGCAGCCCTCCTGGTGTATGCAGCCACAGACAAGACAGACTCTGTCTCAAAACAGTGGGAAAGGTGGATATGAACACTAGTGATTGTCCTCTGACCTCCAAATGGTGCTCCACGAGCCGTGAACACTGTAGACCCATACACCTGTACTCGCATACGCAGCAGGTTTCAAAATCGTCACTAGTCCTCGATGCTGTTTTTCTATATGTCAGCATTGGTTCCATTCCGCAGACCTTCCATATTCCCAAGGTATCTGTCCCCATTTCAAAATCTTAGCCGCCACCATGGGAACCAAGCCTTTTAGGTACCGGTACCGTTTAATCAGCAGCCAGAACCCAATGGCTATACCAGGTACTATGCAAGGCTGTGTTATGTAGGAACACTGGCCTTTGCAGAAGTGTGGTGATGAGAAGTCATGTCTGAGAAATGGAAAACCTTAGCAAAGAGAGAGAGAGAGAGAGAGAGAGAGAGAGAGAGAGAGAACCAAGACAACCAACTGACTTCTGCCTTCAGCATAAATATGAAAGTAGCAAGCAGTTAAGGGAGCAGAGTCACCTTAAATGGACCCTTGAAGGTCATTTGAAGGCAGTGCAATGCAGCTGGGAAGGGCTCTCACTGCTCAGCAGCCGCCCCATGCCCTTGAGTAGAAGGCATGGCACTGTCAGGTGAAGGAGAACCAGTACAGACCTCCGTCTGCTAACCGGGGTGAACTTGGTGTCTAAATGCCCCTGGACTGCTTTTAGGGCTCCCACTGCTTTCTTCTTGGCTTGGAGCCTGCAGATAATTTATTTAAAAGACTTAACGGGTCCCTTATGGCTGGAATCCATTTTAATCTCTAAATTGACCACTCTTTTCAATTGAACTTAAAAATGAAGAGTACTGATGTTACAGACGGGAACAGTGAAGTGTCTCCTGATTATAAATGTACCGTGTGATGATAGATGACATTAGCAAAATCCAGAAAAAAAAGGAAAAAAAACCCACCAAAATAAAGACTTCTGGCAGTCCCCCTGCCTCCAGAAGAGCCATCTATTGATGTGGTCTATTTTCTTCTGGCCTTTACTGGTTAAATATTAATTTTGATGTCACATGGGTCTATTAATAAAAGTATGGCAAGGACTTTTACACTTAGCAATTCCATATCTCATAGTATAAAATGTAGCAGGACATATCCATCAAAAAATATATTACAGCCAGGCTTCGTGGCATGGGCCTTTAGTCCCAGGTACTGGAAAGGCTAGGACAAGAATTTTCTAGGTTCAAGGACAGTCTTATCAACATAGCAAGACCGTGTCTCAAAATAAAAGATTAAAAAGAGAGTTGAACACTCATCCAAAATACATAAGGCCCTAGGTTCAATCCTGGTACCACAAAAAAATGAAAGAAAAAAGAAAAGAAAAAATATACATCAAAGACAAAACAAATGGTATTTTTCTAACCTTTAATGGGCAAATATGTTGTAGTCTATAGCTTCTAAGTTTAATAATAATAATAATAACAATAACAAGGAGAAGGAGAAGGAGGAGGAGGAGGAGGAGGAGGAGGAGGAGGAGGAGGAGAAGAAGAAGAAGAAGAAGAAGAAGAAGAAGAAGAAGAAGAAGAAGAAGAAGAAG